TATATTTTCTTTCTTTATTATAGGCAAGAAATATACTGTACATACGTATGTATAGTAGTTTCAATATATTTTCTTTTATTATAGGCAAGAAATATACTGTACATACGTATGTATGGTAGTTTCAATACATTTTCTTTATTTCTAGGCAAGAAACTGCATAAACTCATCCAATCGTGTGTGAGAAAAAACTTAGTGTATTTCATTTTCATTGCATATGATTAGGAATTCTTTGCAAAGTGAATTTTTACTTAGCTTCACCTCATGCAATTATCTTAGTAAAAAGTAAAAGTTCATTTTGCAAAGTGAACTTGCTCTGCACTTTTAGTAAATCAGACCAATGTGTTTTATCCAAATCCCCAATGCCCAGATTTTTCATCACTTCCTGTCTTTGCGGGAAGTGAGAAGAAATCCCCAGAAAAGGAGCGCAAATGGAGAAAAAACTCCAGAGAGGCTCTAACTATTCTCTCCACTATCCAAACAAAAAACAATTTGACTGAAGCTGTGCTCTTTAAGGTCTAAGCAAAATCTGGTGCAGCTCTGCATAGAAGCCAGTCATCTTCCAAGTTTTTCTGTCAAAGCTTAATTGAACAATCCAAGTTACAGTAGAAGCTAAATAGCTACCATGCACAGCTGCAGCAGATTTTTCACTCTCCAGTTTTAGTAAATCAACCTCTACATCAGTATCTAACATTATATCTCATTGCAGTTTTGGTTCAACTGCCCTGCTGGGCTCTTGGAAAATGTTTTATGTTTCCCACTTTTACTGCCAGGGACGTATTGATTTTGTCAAATGTCTTCCCTAACCTCAATACATTTGAAATACTGCTCTAGCACCCTACTTTCCAACACACTATATTCACAATATGCATATATGTAAGTATATTCTCAAAGATGTAAAAGATATTCTAACTGTATTAGTTTTCATGTCAATTGTCCCATAATAACATTCTACTCGAAAACAGAAATATCACATAGATGTTGAGGAGAAATTGTTTCACATGAAATTGATGTTTAAATGAGATCTATCCCCCCAAAAAAACATATATAATGCAGCCTACCAGTCATTAGATGCGGGGGCTGCTAGGGGTTCACGGAATCCTACACGGAAAATGTGGTGTTGTGGAACAGAATTATTTTATTGACAGACACTGTGGTGTGGTGTACAGGCCATAAACAGAATAGGGTTGATTCCAAGAGCTGGAATGGGGAGCAGCAGGAGCCTTGATAAGCTGCCATTAAAACACTAGGCATGGAGGTGATTCAGGGATCTTTTTCTTCTCCATCATCTGTGGAAGAGGCATTTGCCTTTGGAAGGAGATGGTAGTGGAACGGTTCAAGCTTTATCTTGACCGTCTTCAGTATGGTCACATTCCCCACTTAACATATCTTAAGCCTCTGTTGTGGGGACTGCAAATAATGGGCAGATGATGTGAAGGATGCAGCAGGAGTATCGGGAGAGGGGGGGGGAGTGGAAAGTGAAAACATGATGACAAAGAAGATGAGTGAGGGCTTTTTGCTGCTGACTTGTCTCACTGAGGTGCTGCGCTCACTGAGCTCTGTAGTGCAGAATCATGTGTTTCCTCAGGCCTGTGGTACCCAAAGGGCTGTCAGAGGCTGTGGACCACAATGTTGCTGTCATCATCAGGAACATTAAAAAGGCCCATGTGCTGAGCTCTGTCGACTGACCCTGGGGATAGCAGTAGCCAGCACCTGTGAATGCAACCAGTTGGATTAGGTTGGTTGCTCCTTCCAGTAAGCAGTTCCTTTTCCTGGACAAAGTCCTTTCTTGCTGTTCTTCTGCTTCTCCCTCAGAACTTGGTCCTGGCACTATCTTTGTCATCCCTGAAATATCTGTAATTAAGGAATACTTGTGCACTACCAGGGTCATCCTCTTGCAACCATTGAAGTGATTGATCATGTAATATATTAATTTTGGAGGTACCTCATTGCCAGTTTGCGGGGCTATGGTGGGAGTAGCAGAAGGGGAGAATGAGGAAGATGTAGAATAGAAGAGATAGAGGTAGTATAGAAAAGTATCTGCGACCCAACCACCACTTTGTCCTGCATAACCTGCACACTCTCTAGTACCTTCATGTACAGAACATCTGCCTCTCCCTTCAGGCCTCCCTGACATTTTTACTAAAGGGTATTGCCTAAATATGATGGCAGCTATAAGGGACTAAAATGTGGAGCTTTTGGTGAACACTACTTTACTGCACAGTACATGGTAATGTTCTTCAAGCAAAGGGCAACTTTTACTGTGTCAGCACAATTTTATGGACCCAAGTATACTGAACCTAAAAAGAAAAAAAGGCACGAGCAAAATAAGTTAAAATATACCCCTCACTCTGCAAAAAAAACATCTGAAGCATTAAATCCCAGCCCTATTAAATTTTTAACCTAAAAAATATATACAGTATATTAACAAGAAAAAAGAAGCAGATTAACAGCAAATACAGTTGTTGCTGGCAAACACAGAAGGTAGTCCTAAAAAGAACTGTGAGTCTCTGAACTATGAATACAGGGAGTATAAAATAACATGTAGCTCAGCACACTGCAATCCAAAGTAATTTTCATAAAATAGTACAGCATAGCACTGTATAGCAACTAAATCTCCCCATCCAGACAGTCAGGTCTCCCTAAACTACTCCAACACACACTGACAAATGGTCTGCTAGCAATCCACCCTTTCACAGTGGAGAGGCTGAAACAAACACCCGTTATTGACCATTCAAAGTCAGCTGTCCAAAGTTCAAATGCCTGAGTGATACCCATGGCTGCCTCCATAGATACAGAACACTGGAGGAGCAAGTGTAGTCACCAGGGACACAAATTATATTTTTTACAGGTACTTGATGAAAATAAAAGAAAGAAGGCAAACAAAAACTATTGCACCTATCTCATCTTAGAACTGGTAACATATTGATGTTTGTCTTTGTGTTTAGATACAATTTAACCAGTATTTTATCTTTAATTTGAATGACAAATGTCCTTCCTCTTCAATATACCCCTAACAGAGCTTCACAGTTATCACCAGTTAGGGGGATTGTCTTTTTATAACTGATTGCTTGCAGAACTTGTGACAGGAGAGGAGTTAGGGTGGTATGGGATACTCTATGAACACGGAATAGTAGCAAAAGGACACATTTCACTAGACTAGGTTTCTATGAACAGTCTTATTGCCAGGGACAAAGGGAATGTCCAAAACTGAGACCCAGTAATAGCTGTCTCAGTAAGAGCACTTATCACCCCAATTGTAGAACAGCACACAGTCACCAGGATCTTGAGCTCAGGTCAGTACTCACAATGTCACAGGACAGCTGAAAACTCAATTTTCACAGGACATCTCTATGTCTCAGGACAACTGCACATTTCTAGCTTCCTCCAGACTCTCCTTGGCTGCAGGATAGCTACTCACTTCCAGCTTCCACCAGACATTCCTCAATGAGGGAGAGGTTAATACTCACAATGCCACAGAACAGTTATACACTTTCTAGCTTCTACCAAGCGCCTCTTCTGTGAGCTCTCCAGACCAGATCCTTAGGTGGAGTCCCTTGGCTGGCTAAAAAGATACTTAGCGATAGACCCCCCCAGCTCTGCCACAGCTGGGACCTCAATGAACATCAACAAAACTGGCTCAGAAGGGCAGCAGCCCCTGAGGCTGTGGAATTTCTCCAGCAGACAAGAACATGTGTAAAATAAGACCAGCTCTTTCCTTAAAAATGCCAATGTCCTAAACATTCCATAAATATATTTTATGCTCTCACCAGAAAAACAGACCTTTTTCACATACGGGTCAAATAAAGTTTGTTGTGAACCACTATCTACTGTACGTGTATTGTGTCTTTCTTTCATCATGTCCACTTCTTTCCCAGGACATGCGTTGTATCCAAAGACCCAATGACAATATACAAAAACCAAACGAAAAACAAAAATATAGTGTAGTACTTCTCAAAAAGACTCTGAATTTAACAGTTATTTTGGTGCTCCCATTATTTTAGTAATAAAATGTGCTTATATAATCACCCAGTGTTCATCCTTGCAGTGATCTTCCCCACGTATGGTGCATGGATGAACACTGGGCGATTATAAAGGAACATTGTATTACGAAAATAATGTGAGCACCAAAATAACTTTTGGATTTAGAGTCTTGAAATGTACTACACTATATTTTTTATTATTGTTTTTTTTCATTTGGTCTTTGGATGTGCTGAGGGGGAAGTTGACTTTATCAAAGAAAGACACAATACACGTGATTAGTGGTTCACAACAAACTTTATCTGATCCGTATGTGAAAAGGGTCTGTCTTTTTGTGAGAGCATAAAATATCTTTGTGGGCTGTATTGGACATTGAGATTTTTAAATGCTGTTTATGTGTAGTGGCCAGGTGGGAGCTTCGCTGTTCTGACTGGAGGTACCCATATGTCCCAGAGAACATGCGCCTCAAGCAGCATTTTAATCCTGTGATGGCTGTGTTCCACAAACACAGCCAATCACAGATTGGGACATGGGCACTGTAATAAGCCAATCACAGCCATCACATACTGCAGAGACATGTGTCTCTGTGTTGGTTCTCCCGCTGATCTCAGTAAGAGCTCAGTGCGGGGGGGGGGGGGGGGGGGCTGGAGGAGGGATGGCTGCAGCCTGTCATATTCTGTGTAGCTGATAATTTTAGTGTTCAGCTACAGACAGATCACACAGACTGCAGCCATTCCCACACAGTACACCAAGGACCATCTGTCCCTGTCCAAGTGTCCCATCAACATCTGTACCTGTTTACCATTGCATAAAACATCTGTCACAGTGTACTAGTGTCCCATCATGTCTGTCTCAGTGTGCCAGTGTCACATCAGCATCTGTCACAATTAGAGATGAGCGAAGTATTCAAAAATTCGATTCGGCTAATTCGGCGAATTCGTGGAATAAATTCGATTCGAGTCGAATATATTCACTGCGAATTTAACTTAATAAAAAGGGTGTTTCTAGGCTTCAGAGAGCCTTTATATTAGTGCAGAACACTGTACCTTTAATTTAAATGCCCTTGGAGTCTGCTGGGGAAGAGAAATAATACTGTCAGTCAGTATGACATGCAGATGAGTGCCGTCGATCTTAGAATCACCGCACACTTCACTCATTTGGGCAGTCACGGGGCCAAAACCAGAGTGTGGAGCCACAGTGTGGCGGTGGAGGCAGCAGCAATGGGAGGCCATACAGCACCCTATGACAAAATGGAACCCACCAGCAGTGTGAGGAGACCTGAAAGTGGCACATGGCAGAGTGTGGCGATGGAGACAGCAGCAATGGGAGCCGTACAGGGACCCATGAGACACTCTGGACCTGGCAGCAGCATGAGGAGGCGGTACGGGGGCCCATGGCAGATTACGGGCCTGGCAGCAACAATGGGAGGCCCGTAATCTGCCAGCACCCTATGACAAAATGGAACCCACCAGCAGTGTGAGGAAGACCTGAAAGTGGCACATGGCAGAGTGTGGCGATGGAGACAGCAGCAATGGGAGGCCGTACAGGGACCCATGACACACTCTGGACCTGGCAGCAGCATGAGGAGGCGGTACGGGGGCCCATGGCAGATTACGGGCCTGGCAGCAGCAATGGGAGGCCCGTAATCTGCCAGCACCCTATGACAAAATGGAACCCACCAGCAGTGTGAGGAGACCTGAAAGTGGCACATGGCAGAGTGTGGCGATGGAGACAGCAGCAATGGGAGGCCATACAGGGACCCATGAGACACTCTGGACCTGGCAGCAGCATGAGGAGGTGGTACGGGGGCCCATGGCAGATTACGGGCCTGGCAGCAGCAATGGGAGGCCCATAATCTGCCAGCACCCTATGACAAAATGGAACCCACCAGCAGTGTGAGGAGACCTGAAAGTGGCACATGGCAGTGTGTGGCGATGGAGACAGCAGCAATGGGAGGCCGTACAGGGACCCATGACACACTCTGGACCTGGCAGCAGCATGAGGAGGCAGTACAGGGGCCCATGACAGATTACGGGCCTGGCAGCAGCAATGGGAGGCCCGTAATCTGCCAGCACCCTATGACAAAATGGAACCCACCAGCAGTGTGAGGAGACCTGAAAGTGGCACATGGCAGAGTGTGGCGATGGAGACAGCAGCAATGGGAGGCCATACAGGGACCCATGAGTCACTCTGGACCTGGCAGCAGCATGAGGAGGTGGTACGGGGGCCCATGGCAGATTACGGGCCTGGCAGCAGCAATGGGAGGCCCGTAATCTGCCAGCACCCTATGACAAAATGGAACCCACCAGCAGTGTGAGGAGACCTGAAAGTGGCACATGGCAGAGTGTGGCGATGGAGACAGCAGCAATGGGAGGCCGTACAGGGACCCATGACACACTCTGGACCTGGCAGCAGCATGAAGAGGCGGTACAGGGGCCCATGACAGATTACGGGCCTGGCAGCAGCATGAGGAGTCGGTACGGGGGCCCATGGCAGATTACGGGCCTGGCAGATGACGACGAGGCTGCCAAGTGCGATCAGCCTCATCATCATCAATTAGGGTCTCCGCCTCACTACTAGCCCCCTCGGCTGCGTGTGGGTCAGGAGACAGACCTGTCTCTAGACCGGCTACCGAGCCACTCTCCTCGCCACTACTTCTTCGCCTGGCTGCTGAAGAGGCGGATATCTCCCCCCGTTCCTGACCGCCCTCTGTTAGCTCTTCCTCACTGTACAGTGGGGCTGAGCCCACAGCATGCGATACTTCGCTTGGTGAGGGAACACCAAAGGACAGGGGCAGGTAGAGGACACGTGATTTCAGTGGGCTTGCTCCCGGGCCATGCCAACTAACGGTTGTGTCTGACGTAACCACCGACCGTTGGCTGTAGGTGTCAGAGGTGACCTGGGAAGAGGAAGACGACCGAGCCAACCAATCGATGACGGCAGGGTTGTCGGTGGAGACACGACCGCTGGATGACACCGGGAGCACTGGCCTCTGGCTGCGACTAGTGCTGCCTCGACCCCTTCCTCTGCTGCCACGTCTGCTCGCTCCTGAAACATTGCCTCCTCTGCCACTCCTCTGCGTGTTGTCTGACATACTCTTTAATTCAACTATTCTGTGTCCCTGAGTAACAATTCTGTGTCCCTGAGTAACAATTCTGTGTCCCTCAGTAACGATTCTGTGTCCCTCAGTAACGATTCTGTGTCCCTGAGTAACAATTCTGTGTCCCTGAGTAACAATTCTGTGTCCCTCAGTAACGATTCTGTGTCCCTCAGTAACAATTCTGTGTCCCTGAGTAACAATTCTGTGTCTGTCCCTGAGTAACAATTCTGTGTCCCTGAGTAACAATTCTGTGTCCCTGAGTAACAATTCTGTGTCCCTCAGTAACAATTCTGTGTCCCTGAGTAACAATTCTGTGTCCCTGAGTAACAATTCTGTGTCTGTCCCTGAGTAACAATTCTGTGTCCCTCAGTAACAATTCTGTGTCCCTGTGTAACAATTCTGTGTCCCTCAGTAACAATTCTGTGTCCCTGAGTAACAATTCTGTGTCCCTCAGTAACAATTCTGTGTCCCTGAGTAACAATTCTGTGTCTGTCCCTGAGTAACAATTCTGTGTCCCTGAGTAACAATTCTGTGTCCCTCAGTAACAATTCTGTGTCCCTGAGTAACAATTCTGTGTCCCTCAGTAACAATTCTGTGTCCCTGAGTAACAATTCTGTGTCCCTCAGTAACAATTCTGTGTCCCTGAGTAACAATTCTGTGTCCCTGAGTAACAATTCTGTGTCTGTCCCTGAGTAACAATTCTGTGTCCCTGAGTAACAATTCTGTGTCCCTGAGTAACAATTCTGTGTCCCTGAGTAACAATTCTGTGTCTGTCCCTGAGTAACAATTCTGTGTCCCTGAGTAACGATTCTGTGTCCCTGAGTAACAATTCTGTGTCTGTCCCTGAGTAACAATTCTGTGTCCCTGAGTAACAATTCTGTGTCCCTCAGTAACAATTCTGTGTCCCTGAGTAACAATTCTGTGTCCCTGAGTAACAATTCTGTGTCTGTCCCTGAGTAACAATTCTGTGTCCCTCAGTAACAATTCTGTGTCCCTGAGTAACAATTCTGTGTCCCTCAGTAACAATTCTGTGTCCCTGAGTAACAATTCTGTGTCCCTGAGTAACAATTCTGTGTCCCTTAGTAACAATTCTGTGTCCCTCAGTAACAATTCTGTGTCCCTGAGTAACAATTCTGTGTCCCTTAGTAACAATTCTGTGTCCCTCAGTAACAATTCTGTGTCCCTCAGTAACAATTCTGTGTCTGTCCCTGAGTAACAATTCTGTGTCCCTGAGTAACAATTCTGTGTCCCTCAGTAACAATACTGTGTCCCTGAGTAACAATTCTGTGTCTGTCCCTGAGTAACAATTCTGTGTCCCTGAGTAACAATTCTGTGTCCCTGAGTAACAATTCTGTGTCCCTCAGTAACAATTCTTTGTCCCTCAGTAACAATTCTGTGTCCCTCAGTAACAATTCTGTGTCTGTTCCTGAGTAACAATTCTGTGTCCCTCAGTAACAATTCTGTGTCCCTCAGTAACAATTCTGTGTCTGTCCCTGAGTAACAATTCTGTGTCCCTGAGTAACAATTCTGTGTCCCTGAGTAACGATTCTGTGCCCCTAAGTAACGATTCTGTGTCCCTAAGTAACGATTCTGTGGCCCTAAAGTCTCTCTGGCCCTAACTCTGTCCCTAATACAGACAGGTCTGTCTCTCTTGAATGACCGGAGGCTAATGGAGAATTGTAAGATGGCCGCAATTTATAGCTCCACCATTACACAGTGCTGGCTGGCTGGCTGGCTGCTGATTGGCTAATGCGATCACATGTCATGAATGAATGCATTATGGGTCAGCGCGCCTTGTCTGCGCGCCTTCCCAGAGATCCCCGCTCCGTCGCCACACATGTCGCCGCCATTTTTGGGAAAGTTCGATTCGTGCATCCGAAGTTGGCTAATTTTCGGATTCGGCGCGAATCGAATATTTCCCAATATTCGAAACGAATTCCACTTCGCCATGTTCGATTCGCTCATCTCTAGTCACAATGTACCAGTGAACAAAATCACCTGCAATAGTGTTCCATTGAAAAATCAACATATGTCAGTGTCCCTAGTGGAGTGTAAACATCTGTCGGTGTCCACCGGTGGACGATCAACATCTGTGCACAAAACATCTGTCAGTGTACCAGTGTCCCACCAATAAATAAAATATGTAAAGCGCCCCCGTGCTCACATGCAAAGGAGAATGCACATGTTGGTCCCGCAATCATACTTAAACACTGATCGCACCACACATGTGAGGTATTGCCATGAACATTTGAGTGACAGCAATAATTCTGGCACCAGACCTCCTCTGTAACTCTAAACTGGTAACCTATAAAGGTTTAAAAAGCATCTTCTATGGAGATTTTTAAATACTAAAGATGGCCACCATTTCAGAAGAGTGTGCAATTTTAAAGCGTGACATGTTTGGTATCTATTTATTCGGGGGCGCCACACCTGATTTTATATTTTACAAAAAAGTTGGGTATTATATTGTATTTGTGTGCATTAAAATTCATTCAAGTGAATTTTTACATTAGTGTGTACAATTGCGTTCAAAAATCCACTGCACAAATACTATGTGAAATAAAAATTAGCAAAACTCACCATTTTATTCTCTAGGGCCTCTGCTAAAAAATATATAAAATGTTTGGGGGTTCTAAGTAATTTTCTGATAATACTCATTTTTACTTGTAAACAAAAAATGTCAGAAGAAGGCCTGGCCTGAAGAGGTCCAAGGACGTTGGGTCTCTCTACATGGCTAGGCTGTGAAAAAGTTTCAAGATATGTGGTATCGCCATACTCAGAAGAAGTAGCAGAATGTGTTTTTGGGTTTAGTTGCAAGTATACCTATGCCGTGTGTGAGAAATAACTTGATAATACAACATTTTTGTGGGAAAAAAATATTATTTGATTTCTTAATTTTCAAAAAAATTGTGGGAAAAAATTACAACTTCAAAAAAACTCGTCATGCCTCTTACTAAATACCTTGGAATGTCTACTTTCCAAAAGGGGGGTAATTTGGGGGGTATTTTTACTTTCTAGACATGTTAGGGTCTCAAATGAGATAGTCAGTCAGTACATCAGTGTGATCAAGTTTCAGTGACAGGTACCATAGCTTGTAGACAAAGAAATGTAGAAGTATACATTTTGGTCAACATTTATGAAGAAAAATTACTCATTTGCTAAATTTTATAACAGAAACTTAGAAAAACACGCTATTTCCCCAAAATGTTTGGTCTTTTTTCATTTATAGCGCAAAAAAATAAAAACCCAGTGGTGATTAAATATCACCAAAGGAAAGCTCTATTTGTCTAAAAAAATTATAAAAATTTATATGGCTAGAGTATTGCATAACTGAATAATTATCATTCAATGTGCGACAGCACTGAAAGCTGAAAATTGGCCTTAGCAGGAAGGGTAAATGTGCCCAGTATTGAGTTGGTAAGGAAAGCATTGGTCTTATTTTACAAATTTTCATCTGTCCACGGGAACTTGGTTTTTCCAGCTGCTGGGACTGTATTGATTTTTTTCCTGTGCACTAATATAATCTGTGCAAGGACAAGAACATAGCTGTCTCAGACCCCAATCTATTTATGTTCTCCCCTGCTACCTACTGGGCATGCCTCTCCAGGGATTGGCCGAAGCACAATTACTATTCAAGCTGTCAATTTGACTCACCCAGCCCCTATGTTCTAGAAGCCTCAAGGAAGCAGGGGGAAATAATCAAGCCTGCAACCTGTGAGATGCAGAACAGGCCAAAGAAATCTAGCTGCTCCAATGAATACAGAGGAGACATAAAAAAGCTAAACGTAGCTATCATTCTTGCAGTCTATCTAGGAGGGTGCTACATTAATTTCAATTGCAACTAGTATAAATATCTAAATATGACTATACCTTATTTCAATCTGTTGCATCTCCCTGTGCAGCAGTACACAGACTAGAAGAGG